TCGATTGCTCAACAACCCTCTATGAAATTGAACCCTCTGTGAAATCGATTTACATAGCCTTGGTGACATCGATTTTTCCAGCAAGAACGTTCCCCTGTTTGATGAATTTTCTGCAATTATGACGAAACTGCCCCTTGTTCTACAATTATGACCAAAATGCCCCTATTTGTTGGTTTTGCTGCAATAAATGATAGTAGATTGCTATTGCTTGTATATTTACTATTTTATATGTCTAAATTTAAATTTGAACAAAACAGTTGCTTATGGTTTAAAAAGTATGTTGTTGTTGTTTCAAAGTACGTTGTTATTCTTTGCTTGATGTTTAAATTAGAAAGTATCTTAGATTAGATTTCACGATTCCCAAACATATTGTCAAAGTATCATTAAGGAAAGTGAACCAATCTTCAACATATCCAAGAACTTAATTAATTATCAAGCTATCCCATTTTGTAAACAATTTCTAAAGGATAATATAACATTGATTAACATATCACATATTAACATAATCTTTCCAAAACCATCCCATTTAATGAAATAGTGAGAAATAGAAGTTGGAGAATAGTCAAGGCACCATACCATATGTGCAAGTTAACTCTTTGACATTAGTTGTCATCGTATGGTTTTCATAACATTAAAAAAAATAAGACATAAGTAAGCTTTTAACTTCAAATCTTAACATCATATTTATTTTTTCTTTTTTTTTAACTTGAAAATAGTATAATTACCTTATGTTAATATTGGTTAAGGGACTGACTTTACTCTCTTGTCATTGCTCGAAAAGGAAGAATAATTTGGGGGTATTTGATGTACTTTGTGGATGGGGTTTGGAATTGATTCGTGTAATGCAGTGGCAAGATGTGGGGAATACCATTTATAGAAAAAATATGAATATGTTGATTTTACTAATTCTAGCACATAAAATATATTATTCATCTTTATGTGTTCTAATGCAATATAAGTGTCTGCCCCTGTTGACCAATATACCCATGTATGGTAGAGATGTTGAAACTTGAAAGTTGAATGCCATTAATCCAACTACATGCCTGTTTCTTTTTATGTCTGAAAATGTGTCTGTGTTGATAAAGTGTTGCATATAAAATGTCTATTTCTTTTTTAAGTATGAATGACCTGTATCAATGTCAAATAAAGGATCATTTTGCATGTTCTGTGTCACACCCCCGAAACCAGACGGCGGAAACGTCTGAGGGCTCGCGTGACTTAAATTGAATATCATCCCAATGAATATACATGAATCACAACATAAACATCACCATGCATCAAATACATTACAACTGATATTCTTCACATTCAGTACATTGTTTTAAATATTACACATGCATAACATAAATTGTTTGAGAGTTTTCAAAACATAACATCCTAATATACTTGATATTACCCTTCAGCTTACCTGTTACCTGAGAATACAAGTTATTTTGAAAAACGGTCAACATATGAAATGTTGGTGAGTTCATAAGTATGGTTGTGATAAAAATGATTTGTGTAGTTTGTAAAACCCAGAAAATCCGATATTTTCTGAAAAGACAATTGTTTACCAAAGTGTGAAGATCCATAAGTTGATGCATGAATTATTTCAAAACGTGTATAAAAGGAAGTTTTGTATTATAGTTATAGAAAAATACAAGCGAGTGGTGTTGATTTCCTCGAAAAACCCGATGTTTTCCGATAACATAAAATATCATTGTTTTTCAAATTGCTATACCGCCACAACGAATGATTTTGATTACTCTTCCTTGATTACTCGGATGGTATTGGATTTAATTAATTATGTGAGTCGTTATAACCATGCATAATAATGACTAGTTCGTCTGTCTTGGCAACCTAACGTACGTCGGGATTGATCTTAAGATTTTGTCACCCTAGACTGGCCGAGTCTAACTGTAGCGAACAGCCGAGGTGTGGGGGAGTCACCCCCATATAGATCTATACACAAACTCTCGCTCTCCTTCCAGGAGACTTTGATTATAACTACAGACTACGAACGACCCTTAGAGGTGTCGCCCGTTATTACTCACTTAATCCAAACAAAATTGATTACTGTTGATTAACGACCGGGATTTGTTTACTTTGATTTCAAATAAGCCTAACAGACACGGAGAAGAGGAATACAAGGTCCTGCTAATTACGCGTGTTATTTAAGGCTGTTGGTTATACGAAGGACACATTGGCCCATTTCATATTTGATTAAATTTGGACCTTACTAGCAATGCTAACGGGCCACCAAGGCCCAATAGCACATATAAGCCATTGAGGGTCCCTTAAACATGTAATTGGGTCACACGAGGCCCAATAGACATGTGTTATTATCGTCGAACCCAAAAGTCATGTTAATGGGTCACAAAGGCCCATTAAGCATGATTAAGATCTTTCAAGTCCAACTATTTGAATATTTACGTGTTTTAGGTATAATATAATGGTCGGAAGTTTGATTGAAAAATTGTTAAAATCTCAACAGCACGAAACTTGTCGGTTGTTTATAACGATAATTGAAAATATATGTATATTTTTCCTTCTATTTTCATAAGTTGTAATGTGGTATTATTTTTAACCCAAATGTCTTAAAACCAAAATAATTGACTCAAAATATTGATTTGACCCATTCAACCCTTTCTTTAATAAAAATGACAATTTTAGTCCCTTACATAAAGAAAAGACATTTTAGGCCCTTAACTCATTTTCTTGACATTTTTGACCATAGACTTGTTTAAATAAAGGTTTTTAGCTCAAAATTTACTCTTTGGCAGTTTCAGCCCTTCCAATACAGAATTTTCAGTTAAAACCCAATCTTTTCGCAACTTTTACATTTTTGGCCCAATTTCCAAAAAAACTTTACATTTTTTATCCTTTTTGGAAAGAAAAGAATTTTAACCCCTGAATTGGTTTTGTTTACACTTTTTACCTCCTGATTTGTGAAATTTATCATTCAACCCCTTGAAAATTTGGTTTTTCGCAATTTTGGGCTCAATGGGCCGAAAAGCCCAAAAATTGGCCCATTAAGCTACAAATTACATTTCTAGTCCTTTGAAGAGTATAATATTCATAAAAACATTTATTTTAACTATTTTGACTCTTTTGATCCTTAAGAAAACCGTGAATGGCAATTTTTAACCTAACTTTTGTTTATTTGACAAATTAAGCCCAAAATTGGTTTTATGTTGCAATATGTTGATTTTAATCTTAGAGGGTAATTTTCTTGACTTGTTTAGTGTAATATACCTTAGATCATGTTTTTTTTCCTTCTTATGCCATAGATCTCGAGATTTCTTTCCTTTTTGTTTACATATTCAACACATAAGCACATAAAATCACACATACATACATGAAATCATACATAGCATACACATACACATAGATCTACACATTTTACTTGTATTCTCCCCCATAAAACTTGTAAAAACCGAAAATAGAGGGGTATGAACTCACCTTCTCTAGTTGCTCACAGTTTTGAAGGAAGAAATGAAGAAAATTTGGTCCTAGCAAGCCTTCTTGGAAGATCTTTGGCTTAGATGTGTTCTAAGAGGCATGATCATGAACTTTCATGAGTTAGAAGAAGATTTATAACAATTTCAAGAAGCTAAACCATGGATCTAAGCATTAACTTACCTAGAATGATGATTTTTGTGGAAAAACCTCCTTGAGATGCCCTAGAATCTCGAAAATTTTGATGGAGAAACAAGAGTGTTCTTTGAGAGTGTTTGGAGAGAATTTGTGAGGTGTGTGTGTTTTTCTTTTGTGTTCTCGGCCGAAGAAGAAAAAGAGGGGAGAAGAGAGAGAGAGTGAAGTGATAGATGCTTGGAAGTATGAGAAGAGTGCATGGATACCCCATGTATAATTGTGAGGTGGCATATAAAAGTCAACTCTTTCTCCCTATGTTTTGTAGTTGGGCCGAGAGAGGTAGAAGAAAGAAAAGAATTTGGGCCTTTTTGTGCATAAGCCCATATTATGGGCCATTTAGATGATTTTCGGCCCAATTGGTCTTTGGAGATGGCTCACGGCCCAAAATAAATCAAGGAACGAGTTTTATGGCCCATTGGGGCTATTTAGATTTGTTATGGCCCATTAGGGTATTTTTTATTTCATTCTAGGCCCATTATGGCCCAAAATGTTAAAATAAAAGAAAGCGGGTCCAATTAGGGTCCATTTAAGGGTCCTAAGCCCAAAATAGTCCAATTGAAAGCTTATTGGTCCATTAGGCCCAATAAGGAAACCCTAGTCCATAATGGACTTAAACCGGGATTTCTAGGGTTTCCAATATTTGTTGACTATTTGAATGTTTGTATAGGAATTTTGTTGTCATTGATTTAACACAATACATGTTTTCTAGCTTTAGGTACAATGTCATTCTTTGTTAAGTGACTACAACGTATCAGAATTCCTAGTTGTGACATTCTGTTATAAAGTTGCAAATGATCATCCAAGCAACAATTGCAATCCAAATAAAGCATAAAAATGGCAAACCATTTACAAAGCATACAATTTAAAAATACAAATCCATAATCTCATATCACAATAAAACACCCACTTTTTGTGTTAAACAATTTTAAATTTTGTGTAATTGCTTCAAACGGACATCTCAATCCAAGTATAACGAAGATGTAAGGGATATATCACCTAAAGTCCCAATTTGGTGTTAAGAATTGTACGAAACAATACAAATCCATGACCACATTCCATTTATAATCGTGAACATATCATAAACCCTAATACTAGATAAGTAACTTGTTCTCTAGCCACACTCATGACTCTACGAACATATCATCAACCCATTTCAAGAAAGCAACTTTTTTTTTGTTTGGATCCTTCATATGCAGCAAAAATCAATCACATACCAAACATATATATGGAAAAAGGGTATGATAAAGCTTAGTTAAACATACCAAGTCATCAGAGGAGACGGGAAGAAGAATGATGGAGACGAAAAGAAGAAGAATTTGTCCTTGGATGAAGTGCTAATTCGATTTACGAAGGAGCCAAGGAGGAGTATGTCACTTACAACCATGTCACCACTACTCGTATGCCATGTCACCCACACTTATGCCATGTCACCAAGTGTTAGACCACATCAACATTTTTTTAAACGACGAGCAATATATTAGCAAATAAAACGAACAACAAACCCAAGCGAGAAGCTCGATCAATTACAAAAAACAGTCTAAGATAGGGGAGACGTTCCAAGCATGTCAGACAATAGAATTACATTTAGACCTACGTTTAATCCAATTGAAAGTATCCATACTAATATCATCTGCAATCAACATAGTCGTCCCCCTTACGTTCCTGAAAACAATAACATTTCGCGCCTTCCATATCATCCATAGCGTGGTGTAAGACAAAGATAAACACAACTTCTTCATGTATTTACTCCCGGTCGCAGATTCAAGCATCTCCATCAGATCCTGACGATTATTCGGTAACCTTGTAAATAAGGAAGACCAATCCATCAACCATCTCCACAAAATCAACAACAGAGGGACAAGAAAGAAAAATATGATCAACACCCTCCTCAACGATTCAACAGAAAGGGCACAGAGTAGAAGATATGGTCATTCCCCTCTTTGTAAGATTCAAGGAGGTAGGAATTCTATTTTGAAACAAACGCCACGCAAAGCAGTTTAATTTTAAAGGAATCCAATTGATCTATTTGAAAGGTAGAGAGTTCCCCATGTTGAATTGATTTAGCATCATACCCCTCAAATCTTTCACTGAAAATTCCGTATCACCATCTTCTTCCCACTTCCATCTGTCACGCCATCAACAAAAGTATATGCAGCCACCTGTTCAACCATTATAGCATTTAACATGTAGGAACGACTTACCAATGAGTGTGATTTCAACAAAAGGTATACTTTGTTGTTGTCTTTTTTACAAAACTCTTTGGATGGTATTTTTTAAACATACAATATTTTGATGGTATTTTTTAAACGTTGTTAAAACATATTTACCAAGTCATTTTCCCTAAATATTTCTATAAAAAGAAAAAACTTTTTGTGTCGGATTAAATAAGTAAATCCCAAACACCCTTTAAAACTCCATATTTTGAAAGTAAAATGACCAGAATGGCCTTTTTTTAACCTGTAATCAAATATACTGACATTGCTGCTTCTCCATAGACCATCACCGCCATCGTGCTTCTTCTCCATCGACTTGGCTTGTTCTTCTCCATTAGCGCTGCTTCTCCTAATCTGTTCTTCACCGTCGACTCCATCTTTTTCGTCGATTTGCTTCCACAATCGATTCCTGATTTTGAAACAATCGATTTTAGGGGTTAAAAAATCAAGATTAGAAGGGAGACGCACATAAAGTAGGAGAAGGCCTGTTCATCATCTTGTTTTCCATTCCATCACGCATCCCTAAAGCCAATACTAAATCCGACATCAAACTCACTAGTAACTGTAAGTAATTTCAAATTATTGTTTCTAGTAAGAAGCAATTTATTTCTAGTACATGTTGCTGAACCAATCTGGCTTTCTTTTTATAATTTTTGCTTAAAGAATGATTGCAAGAAAGGCACACAAGCTGTTTGATAAAATGCCTGAGAGAAGTGTCTCAATTTTGGGTTTCCTGGTGCTCATTAATGATGCTCTATAGTCTATTCATTATAGTTTAAAGTTCTCTGCTATTGTAGAAGGCTTCGGGTTGTTTCCTATAGCTAGGTCATGTTTTAACTGATGCTACTTGAATCTTTCCTTGAACACTCTTGTAGAAACTTTTAGCTTATAGTGGTGGCAATCTTGAAGGAATTGTCGACAATTGTTATCATTTTGGGCTTGCATATGGTTGTGTGCTTTAGCAAGAAGTTTATAATCATCAACATGTGCATGAATATCAAAAATTATCTAAATAATTATTGAAGTTAATAAAATTTGTGATGTTATTAGTTTAAGTTGTGTGAGTTTGAATACAGGCATGGCAATCACAAGTGTGAGTTGTAATATTTCCATACAAAAAAGAATGAGTTTTACAGATTATGTGGGACTTCCAAACTGCCCGACACTTGATTTCGGGCAGCCGGGCAGAGGAAGTTCATGTAGCCGGATTCCAATGAGAGTAACAATGAGAGACCGAAGCAAGAACAGGAAACCATTGCAAAAAGGTAGGAATCTTAGCATTGAAGCCATTCAAACAATTCAAGCACTCAAAAGAGCTCCAAAATCTGTAGAAAAACAACAAGAAGTTATTGATTCCAAGTTTAGTAGATTACTCAAGTTTGATATGATGGCTATCCTCCGTGAACTCCTTCGCCAAGAAAATCCCATTCTTGCCCTTCTGGTCAGTTGAGTTTATAAATTATAAATCTTCTTTCTAATTTGGTCATTTGAAAATATTCAATCTCAATTTGTAACCATGTTATGCATAACTAATAATATATACTATTCTTGTTGTAGGTTTTTGCAGAAATCAAAAAGGAATATTGGTATAAACCACAAGTGTCATTATATGCAGAAATAATCTCGGTTTTGGCAAAGAATAACTTGTATGATGACGTGGATATGATTTTTCTTGAATTAAAAACTGAAAAAGTTAGATTAGAGGCCAAAACCGAGGGGTTTAATTTGTTTTTGGAAACTTTGATGAGTTACAACATCACTAGACTTGCCATGGATTGTTTTGAGTTGATGAAAGAGGTTGATTGTGAGCCTGATAGATCAACATTTAAGTTATTAGTAAGTTATTTAGAATCCAAAGGAGAAAGGAGCCTTTCTGAAAGTATTAGGCAAGAAGCTCAGAAATATTATGGTGATTCTATCGAGTATGTAGATGAGCAAGATGAGATGGCAATTACTTAAGGTGTTTGTTTCTTTTTTATTTAATAGGGAAATACTTAATTTGATAAGATATATCATGTATATGAGTGTTTCTTGGTTATTTAGTATAGAAATAACGACTTAATAGAAAAGGGAAAGGGAAATGTGGCTGGTGCGTTGAATTTTCGATGGGTTTATGTTATCCCTACATATATATGTATTGCCATTTGGACTTTTTATAGATTGACATTTATTAAAGAGCTTGTAAATTTAACCATTTAAGTTAAATATTCAATCGGTCAGATGAGTAAAGTTTAAAAACTTAACATTAGATGAAACATGTTAAATAGACCGAAAGTTTGGCAAAGCACATTCAAATCCAAGACAAAATTGCAAAATTGTTCTTTGTGATTTCTATTTTATGCAGCTAAAGTCCAAAGCTTTAAAAAGTTATGGATTTTGTTATTTTAACGTAGTTTTGTTGTGTATTTAGTCTATGTTCAAACTAAAAGGACTATTATACCCTTCTTTTTTTATTTATAATATTTTTTAGATATTTAATAAATATTGAAAAGAAAGGGGTACTCTCTCTCTCTCACATGAATCAAAATTACACACCCCCCATTCGGTATTTTGTGTTACTCATTGAGGAAGCATAAAACCGCCCACACACCTTGTATATGTGCGATTATGGAGAGAGAAGAAAGAGAGAGATGAGGTTTGATCGGAGGTGGTGCAAGGTGGGTGTTGGTGATGGCCAAAGGTGGCTTACTCGATCTACATGGGCGTAACAGATCCAAGGCCAATAACAGTGATGACGTATCCGATCTGGTGTTGGTGGTTGGAAGGTGTTTCCGATAAAGGGTCAGGGAGGAGATGGGTTTTGAAGAAAGAAATGAGACTTGAGAATGAATTAAGAGTGCAATGACGATAGTTGTTGGTGGTGGTGGGGAGGTATTCTACCGTGAAGGGAAAGATAAGGGCGGGAAGGAGATGTGCTTCAAAGAAAGAGTGAGAGGGTGGGGGTATTTTTTTATTTTAGTAAGTAATAAATATTTAGAGAATTGTAAAAAAAATGAAGTAAAATAATGTTTTTAATTTTGATAGTTACCAAATCCACAATAAAACTACGTTAAAAGGATCAAATTTAGAACTTTTAACCCGGCACATAAAAAAGAAGCAATTTTGTCAAAAATCAATCATTCTTTTATAAAACAAAACTGCCCTAAATCAAAGGGATATTTTTACAAGTTTGTTCAAAATCATTTGTTTTATAAAACAAAATAAGATTATTATATTGATAGTATAAGCATTATCAAATTTATTTACTTTTTTGCAAAACTCAAAGAAAGCCAAAAAAATTGTCGGCGGAAAGTTCGTTTATTTAATAAATGAACGAACATGAATACAAATTCTCGTTCGTTTAGTTAAACGAACGAACATTAACAATAGTCTCGTTCGTTCAATTATGTTCGTGAACGTTCTTTTATGTGGTTCGTTTATGTTTGTTTATGTTCATTCATATAAGCTCATTTTATCTTCATATATGTTTAATTGTATTTGATTACATTACTGTATTACATGTTCATTTATGGCCATATATGTTTGTTTTTTTGTTCGTTTATGTTTGTTTAGCATGTTCACGAACATAAACGAACGAACATGAACAATGTCATTTGTTAAACGAATGAACATGAACAAGAAAATTCGCTCGTTTAACTATTCGTGTTCGTTCATTTGTTTGGTTAACTTAAACGAACGAATATGAATAAGCTATGTTCGTGTTCGTTCGATTCGTTTACCAGCCCTACCAATACCAATGAGTTTTCTTTTATTTTTGTTTTAGCTTCTCGTATCTTTTGTGTGCATCTAATTTTCGCTGGTAAAATCCAATAACAATATTGAAGTACTTATAAGTTGGCGTGCTATTGGATTTAACACCTTGTTCATGAGATTTTTTTAAGGAAATAGAAGGAAATGAGAGGAAATAAGAAGAAATATGTGTTCTTGAGTGGAATGGAAAGAAAAGGGTGTTTTTGTGTTTGGATGTTTTTTAAGAAAGGAAAGAGAAAAAAGAAAATAAAATGTTTTCTTGAGTTTTATTTAAGAAAGAAAAAAAAAGAAGGAAATGGAATGATTGAAAGTGAAAAAAAATGACTTATTTTTCATTAAATATTTTCTCCCACTTTTGGCATGATTGAGAGGGAAGGAAGGAAAAAAAAGGGTATGAAAGTAAATTTCTATTCCCTTCTCCTCCCTTTCTTTTATTAAAAAAGAACCCTAGAAGGGAGTGTAAGTGGGTTGGAATAAACATTTGGAGATTGATGTATAGAGTACAAACTCATGCTATCTTTTCACATCTTTCTTGTTCCCATATTAAGGTGGTGTTTGTTTTTTTGCAAAAGCTCTTCTTGACCTCTTATGTCTGCGCCGCGCAGACAACGCGCAGATGTTTGGTCTCGCAGACTGTTTGTTTTTTAAAAGACCGCAGACCTAAAAAAGGTCTGCGCGTCCTCTTCTTGGCGCAGATATGGACATATGTCTTCTAACATCTTCTAGCTTTTTCTTATCTCTTCCACAATATGTATTTAACTTTTAAAAAAGAAAAAATATTTTTTTTGTAATTTTTAGTGTCGTTTTTTATTTTTTATACTTTTGTCATCCTCCTCTCCTTTTATGTATTTATTTGTTACTTTATTTATTGTTTTTTTATATCATAATTATGTATTAACCCAAATGTTTATGTATATGATTATGTATATGTTTTTCTATTCAAATAATATATTTATCCAAATAATTTTGACATAGTTTTATAGATATTTTTATTTTTGTGCAATGTAAATAAATCCAGTAACTTTTTTTTTATGTTATTTAGGATAGAAACAATATCATTGATATAATATCAAAAATTTTAATGAAGTTTTATTTTCAGTTATCATAATTTATACCACATTAATAACTAAGTTCATTTAATTTTTTGATTATTGAATCCCAACATAGTTTTAGCCCTTCGAATCATCACATCATCGAATTTTGTATCGGTTTCAGTTTATTATTTTCGGTTTGTTGCGTTTTTATCAAAAAAAATTATCGATTCAGTTTTTGCTCACCCCAAACTATATTTGTAAATTAGTTGTATGTTTTATTTAGTCGTTGAAGTTATAGTTGATGAAAATTTAGTTTTTTGTAATATTTTTATGTTTAAAAAAACCGGTATATCTAAATCTCAGTATATTTTAACAACATGCAGACGTTAAAAAACAAACAGTCTTCTTCTTGCAGACTGCAGACATTTGGTTCACCTCTTCTACAGCAGAGGTTTGCAGATGTGATCCACAGACTGCAGACATTTTGTCTCAGAAAAAACAAACAACACCTAAGTCTCCAAAATAAGCTCGATGAGGACAGACAAAAATGTGTTAAGCAATGAGGATGAGGATGCCGACTTTGATACCATGTAAAATATATGTGTAGCCTCAAATGAACTCTCCAAAAGAGCTTTTATGGAGAGATGTGAGACTCCAACATATATATATATATATATATATATATATATATATATATATATATATATATATATATATACACACACACACACACACACAATGGACCGTGTCGCACCATACTCTAACACTCCTCTTAGAACGGATGCTCGATGAGATCAGACAATGATGTGTCAAGCAACGGGGGTGTGAACGCCTTAAGATATATGTGTAGTCTCATATTAACTCTCCAAATGAGTTTTTATGGAGAGATGCGAGACTCCAGCATATATATAAAAACGTAAATATGAGTCTACACATTAAAATCTTAAAACCTTTAATTTTAAGAAAACGTTGCATGAATTGATTATCTGATCATCATAGTTTTTACACAATAACACATTAAAAAAATATCTTCTGCGAATTTTATATATGTTATAATAATTTATTTGATTTTGATTATTTGGTATCACATATAATGATTGCACAAATAAGTGAACGAGACCACTTCTTTGGTAACAATTTTTATAGATTAGGGATTCAGTTATAAATAAAATGAAGTAGGAGGTGGTAATGTGTAAAAGGGGAATTTCTCATAGTCTCATTTCCCCTTTGGCTTCCTTGCCAATTCAAGCATTGGCTCCTCCAACAAATTCCAAACTTGCGGTGTATGCTTAAGCTCCTGCCATTGAATCTTCGAATCGTCATCATCACAACCTGCTGATTCTCCACAAACAGTATCAATCCATTCTTCAATCAATCCGAATTGTGTTTTAATACCTGGAATTCAACTTTCGTCACCGGCGGTGTTAACAATCAAGTATTGAGCGAGCGAGAAATCGTCGTTGAAGATGTCGTTGAGGATAAAAACGGTGGTGGACAAATTTGTAGAGGAATTGAAGCAAGCTTTAGATGCAGACATACAAGACAGAATCATGAAGGAGAGAGAGATGCAGAGTTACATTGAAGAGCGTGAGCGGGAGGTCGCCGAACGTGAAGCAGCCTGGAAAGCTGAACTCTCTCGTCGCGAGGTCCGGTTTCCTTAATCCTTCTTTAATTATCTTTCATGATCTTCATCTTGCTTGTTTCAAATTAAGATTTATTAAGTAAATTGTCTAAACCCTACCCTTAGAATAGATTTGTCATTTGTTAGTATTGCAACTACAATTAAACTGTGGTAGAATTAATCAATTAAATAAATGAAACCTCGATTTTCTTCATATAGATGATTACTGCATCTGATATATGAGGAGGTGATTTAGAATATGAACTCCGTATTTAGTTTACTTGAAGATGAACTCCTTTCCATTCCAAGCTTGAGTTTGGTTGCAAATGAGTACAGAACCGAATTTGCTTGGAGCTCATAAAATCCTTTGGCCAAGGGATTTCAACAATCCAATTTCCATCCTAGAATCCATGGAATTCCGACAGATAGCTGATTTTCACCTATTTCTTTAAAAGTCTAAATGCAAGAAATAGCAATATGCATTCATTTGTTATGTATCATGGATAGCATCCCACTTTTTCATTTCTTTTATCTTATTAAGGCATTGTACTCTGAAAAACCTACCCAATCATAGCATTGTACTTCCAATTTTTTTCTTATCTAGGAAATTATGATGCTATAATAAACAAAATCAATCAAAGTAAGTTGGTATTTCTTGCATTAAAGTCTTGATACAAAGCATTAGGTTGTATTTGTGTGAAGTATGTTGATGAATTATTGGTTTCAGGCAGAAGTTGCCAGACAAGAAGCGAGATTGAAGATGGAGAGAGAGAACCTGGAGAAAGAGAAGAGTGTGTTGATGGGAACAGCATCCAATCAAGATAATCAAGATGGGGCCCTTGAAATTACTGTAAGTGGTGAGAAATACCGATGCCTAAGGTTCTCAAAGGCCAAAAAGTGACATCATTTTTTTTATATCTTTTTAGGGTCATTGGTTATGTATATGTAGTACAAATTTGATTATTTGACCATACGCTGTCGTGTTTTATCAAATCTAATATGCTAATTTGGCTCACTCTAACGTGCGAAAAAAGTTTTGGAACTTTGGAAAATGAACAAGATGTAAGCAAAGTTATCATCATAGTTTCCAGAAAAACAATTCTACTTTTGCAATTCTATCGATTTTATTCACTTTCACTATGTTTTGTATTAATTAAAAGGGTGTTTTGGAATGTTTACTTAGAGGGCTTGTTAGCTTATTTATGTTTGATAAGCTAATTCGAGTGTTTGGGTTGTATAAATTAGCTTATTGTGGTTTGGTAATATTTTTGCCAAGTTGTTTCAATCTAACTTATTAGTTTATTGTAATTTGATACTGTTAATAAACACTTTAATTGTGTGGGTTGCATAAAATAGCTTATTTTAAAACAATTCATTAACTTATTATGTTTTGGTATCAGATAAGTTAATTTAAAATTTTCTTTTTAGATTGTGTTTTGGTACCCTGAAAGCTTATAAGATTTTTTGTTAAATGTAAGTTGTTTTAAATAAGCAAATCCAAAAAAAAAAAAGTCATTTTTTTTTAATCCATTTTTCATGATTAAGTGGTTAGGGAAAAATAAACATAAAGTACTTTCACAAGTTCATTAATTCAACCACTAAACTATTAATTTATCTATTTCAATTGTCTTGAGCATCTCCAATGGGACTTTTTTTTTATAGCTTATTACTATTGACTTTTTATAAATGAGCACTTATTTTTATTGGAACACACCATTTTTTTTGCTTATTTTTATTGACCACTCAATATATATTGAGTGGTCAATATAGTTTAACCTTTTATATATTTTACCCCCTCATCTTCTAATTATATTTTAATTTACCCTTTTATTATATTTTAGTTTTCAATTTATTTATTTATTTAGTAGTTAATTTGATTTGTCATTTTATTTAATTTATCTATCAAATATTTTGTGACATCTTACGAACTTTTAGAGCGATTATAAAAATGCGTTTAATACAATGTGTGTTTAAAAATGACTAACTAAATGAAGGGGGTTATATAGAACATTTTAAATAGATAAGGATAGATTAGTTAAATTTAAAGAAAAAGCTAGTGGAAGAGGTTAACCATTGGAGAGACAATTTATTTAGAGGTTAAAGTTAATGGAATGATGAGGTGGCACTAATTTTAAGCTATAGCATAGTTCAACCATTAGAGATGCTCTAATTTGGTTCTGATTATTATACATGGCTTTCAACAACAAAACTATTGGAGATGCCCTAATTTGGTTCTGATTATTATACATGGCTTTCAACAACAAAACTGATCCTTATAACTTCCCTATACTTTGTTTAACAATTAATTGCCTTGTGTTTGTTCATGAAAATCTCAAATCAAGTATAAAATTCAGTAGGACCTTCATATTGTAGTGTACATTTCAATGGCGAGTTTAGAACGTAAAACCACATGGTAGACGCAGGAATACATAGTAGGTGGTGTCGGGATGAAATATGTGTTGTCGATACATGAAAAATAGGTAAAAAAAATCAAAAAATCAAAAAAATTTCCACTGCGGACAGAAAAATTAGGGGTTGCCTGTGCCACAACGGGGACCCCTTAAAACCGCCTCTGGTTAACTATTTAAGTGAAACTGATAGAAAATTAAAAAAAAAGATAAATAAAGAAATCAAAGAAATACTAGTTAAGGGTTTGGGTCGGGTCAGTGTGAAGCGGGAGAAGAAACGATATGGTAAAAATGCCCTTTTTTTTTTTTGCCTTTTTTCCTTTATTTATCTTTAACTTGTATTTAACTATTTTTATTGGATTATACTTTAAGTGAATTGGGTTGAAATAAAAATATGGGTTTTAGAAATTTTGATATATACATATTTTTTTTTGCCAAAATCATTAAGGTAGTTTATTTCAACTATTTAAGATAGATGACAATTTATATTTGACAAAACTGCAAATTTAGTCCTTGTGGTTTACAAAAATCTTTGGATAGGGTCCAAAAAGTTTTTAACTTGCATGGCAGGTCCAAAATCAAAACATTTCCGCGATTTTAGTCCAAAAAAACTTGAAAAGACGATTATGTCCTTTTATTTTCTTTTCTGTATTTTATATATTTATTTAATACCTTTTTTAATTAAAAAAATAACATATCCCACCCTATCACTCTATCTGACCCCCCCCTCTCTCTTTCACTCCACCCGACCCTTTCCTTTCTCTTTCACTCTCTCTACCATCTTCTTCTTCTTCACCCTTCACCTAATTTGAAGATGGCTTGATTAGCGATGAATCGTCCTCCACCACCGGAATCGTCAAAGCTTGGATCTGAAGTTGTTGATGTGTCATCGATGGTGCTCAACGATTATTAGGAGATTGGAATACGACATCAGATGCACACCTGAAGAAACTGGAATCACTCCCAAACGAATCACCATCAATAAAATCAAAATAATCCCTCTCCACATATCTCTCAGCCAAAACACGATTCGCAGCTGAATGACTCACACATCTCTCAACCAGTGAAAGTCGAAAGCTTTCCAGTTCTTGAATTTAACAGGGAAGAAATTGGAAACATATGTTAGTGAAGGGTCTGCAGTCGACGTCTCATCAAAGCAAACATAAATCAACCAACAAACCCAACAAACATAAATCAACCAACAACAAAACCTCATCGGGGGTTGTTGTCTTCGATCTATCGACATCAGTGGGCATGGGAAGCATTTGGGTGATTTTTCTTCAATAGGAGGGGCTGCAGACGATGTCTCCGGTAGGCCCGTGGTGGCTTCCTTTCTCATCGTCGCTAGTGAAGGAGTCAGGGGTGTTTGGGTGGTGTTCCTCGACCAATCGTCACGGAGGAAGGGGGTAGCTTCGGTGCTCCACTCGACTACTTCCCTTCTCGTTGTAGGCTGTGGATTTGAGCAGTAGCAGTAACGATGAAAGGGGGGGTGTTTGGCTGAGACCGGTGAGCATATTAGGAAGAGGAGGAGTATTGTAATGGTGGCGATCGGTGGTCTCCTAGTTCCACCGGTTTCCTCCTACGCTAGAGATGCATAACTGGTGAAGGAAGTTAGAGAGAGAGAGAGAGAGAGAAAGAGAAAAGAGAGAGAGAGAGAGAGAGAGAGAGAGAGAGGGAGGGAGAGGGAGGGAGAGAGAGAGAAAAAAAAACGTATGGGTGGGTGGGGGATAATATATTTCTTTTCTTTTTATTTTCAAGACAATATGGTATTAGAATAATTGTAAAAAATAAAAAAAAAATTAAAAGGGTATAATCGCCTTTTCAAGTTTTTTTGGACTAAAAACCCAGAAAAATCTTGATTTTGGACCTTCTGTGCAAGCTGGAAACTTTTTGGACCCCATCCAAAGATTTTTGCAAACCACAAGGACTAAATTTGCAGTTTTGTCTTTATATTTATACATAATCTCTTGTATAAGAAGAAAAAAAAAAGACAAAATTGCAAAAATGGTCCCTGTGGTATGCATTTTATTGGGGTTTTGGTCGAAACCACGAGTTTTTTGGCTTTGTGGTCCTTTTGGACTGGTTTGTTTGTGAAAATGGTCCTTATAGTTAACTCCCGTTAAAAACAATCCGTTAACCCCCTCATGTGCCTTCCACATGAGGGTATTTCTGTCTTTTTACTTCTAGGGACCATTTTTGCATAAGAAAAAATAAAAACCCCTTTATATACCATTTTCTATTTTCAGCTTCTTCCCCAACTACTGTTCTTCCCCGATTTGAACAGATGTTTAAACACATTTCCCAGATAATGGAACAAAATTTGAATCCCACTTACATTACAATCAAGGTCAACTAAAAACCATCAAAAGATTTAAAAGTTGGATGCTGACAATAACGTAAATTCAGTTGGAATGCACACAAACAACATAGCTAAACACAAACAACACTATTTTATAAGCTTGTGCAGTAGCTGTGGTTGATACAAAGTAAAGAATGCTATAAGTAAAGAAACATAGGGTTTTAGTGATTCTTTCTTCATCGGAAGTTTGGTAAATTACAAAGAACATTGTTTCCCCAATTGTTCTTCCAAGGCCAACCAAAGCAGTTTTCCATGATCTGCTTGTCTTCTCACTTTCCATGGCTCCATATGACAATGAACAAAAATAGAGATACTTTCAAAGCTAATGCGTCTAAATGCCACTTCTTCAGATCAATGGGTCATAGATTTCGTTGAGAATTCTACTTTACTCTTATTTAGGTGAGATTCCATCTAAGATGCTCAGCATACACAACAGTATACAATCAAGTCCAAACTAAAATATACCTCGGAATCACTAATCTGATACTGTGCATCTGATACAGACCGCCTCCTCCTTGAATCAACATTTGGAAAAGCCCTAGTAGTACCACCAGCATTAGAATGAGTACCATCGTTACGCCTCGACACAGACCTCCCACGCCTTTGAGATGAAGGTGTTGCAGAACTAATCTCAGCATGTTGCACGACTCTAATTGTACCACCAGCATTAGAAGCAGTATCATCGTTACACCTTGACACACCTCCTACACCTTTGAGACGAACCCAGTTCAGGACTAATCTCAGACTTCACACGAACAAGCCGGGTGCTTCTACTGCTTCCACTCTCATCATCTACCTCAGAGTTGTTACCCTTCCCCGAGAAAAACTCAATTGCTAGATCATCAAGACTAATTTCCGGGAAATCTGAACCCCTCACGGTGTTAACAAACTTGCGCCTCGGAGTAGGAAGAACACCTGAATCAATCTCCGTTGGAATCGGCCGTGAGAATCTACTAAGTTGGGGAAGAAGCTGGAAATAGAAAATGGTACATAAAGGGGGTTTTATTTTTTCTTATGCAAAAATGGTCCCTAGAGATAAAAAAGACGAAAATACCCTCACATGGAAGGCACATGAAGGGGTTAACGGATTGTTTTTAACGGGAGTTAACTACAGAGACCATTTTCACAAACAAACCAGTTCAAAAGGACCACGAAGCCAAAAAACTCGTGGTTTGGACCAAACCCCCAAAAAAATGTATACCACACGGACCATTTTTGAAATTTTGTCAAAAAAAAAAAAAATTAGACGGGCCAAGAGACCCACCATCAACATTTTTTTTTTTTTTTTTTTTGAAGTCTCCCCCACCCTATGTAACGTAAAAGAAAGGGTAAACACCATTGTCTTTCAAATCACATGACCAAACCAGCACTAAAATTTTGGTTTTGTTAAAAAACCTCAATTTCAGGTTTTTTTTTTTTATTTGGTTTGGTTTCGGTTTCTTTGCTTGCATACCCCTAATATTTGCCCAAAGGTTGTGTTTTTCTTAACATTAGAATCATCACAGTGTGTTGTTGATACTTGCAACGAACAAAGTACAACCCGACGATTTGCTTTAGGGAATCGAATAGTTCTATCACTGAGTTCACCATCCTATGGTGTAACAAACACAACCTTAGACCCAACTCTCAATCTTTTGTCTGTGCAAAAAACATGAATACCCGTACCATATAAAATTAATAATAATAACCCCTATCCTATGGTGTAACAAACGCAACCTTAGTAACCAGAGTTCTTTAACAATGTCAGAATGTGTATAATGGGTCTGTCTAGTCCTTCAAGGCATAACATTGAGGGGCGAGTTCTGCTAACCACAAATAATCAATTGTAGTAACATTGCGGACATAATTACGCGTAGTTTGAACAAGATTGTAAAATATTATGCACTCTGATTTTGCACGTCGTAGAACAGAAGTCGGGTGAATCTCCGCAATCTGACCATTTGCCAAAACCCTGTATTTCCCATCCATCATTAAACACTTGATTCAATTCTAGTCAAATTAACGTTATAAAAAATGGTTATATTAAATAATAAATAATACCTGTAGGTTCCATCAGGTTGCTTCAGGGCTGCATTCAGGAAATAAGAAGCAGCAAGACATCTACGGAGTGGAACCATGTCATCTCCACATGAACTTATCTTAAGCCCCATTCGTTCAACATTTTCCCGGATTTGACTGCAACCACCCACCAAAACCAAACATATATACACATAAGGGGTAATTTTGGAAGACAAAAAAACATCATATAAGAAGAGAATTTAGTTACTTGTAAATGTCACGAGCATGCTTTAAGGAACGACTATTAATGAAGTTATCCTTGCACCATTTCCTCAGATTCTTTTCAGCTTTTTCTTTACTATTCTCCATTTTGTTCTTCTCTAAAAACTCAAGAGAAGCACGATAAACATTAAGTAAAGTAAGATGGTCTCCCTCGGGGCTCGAGAATGATTTAATAACTGTTCGCGACTGGAAAAAAAAAAAAACAAAATAAAAATCCGTTAGGAAAAGTAGTTAAAATAATGAAATTTAAAATGGTGTAATGTATGCAATAATACCTCTTCTAACTTGTCACGAGGAGCATAAAAGATGGATTCAACTGATAGCATTGCAACAACTATTAACATTTCTTCCAAGCAATCAAACTGAGAGGCAAGAATAAGAGCCTTTGAATCATTTGGTTCTAATGGAAGACGTGCCATTTGGTGTCCAATTGGATCTGATAATTTCTTTTCATCTGTTAAAGCACCTAGCAAGTACAATAACTCCAGTGATCTAATCACAGTCATCCTGCACTCATCAATCAATCACCAATTCAATATCTTCACCTAAATCTTATCTAACAAGTAAGACAACTATACTAATATATACCTATCGGGTTTCTCCATGAAGTCAAACCCAAGTATATCATCAACACCAAGAGCACTAAGCTGCAAAATAACATTAGAAAGGTTGCATCTTTTGATCTCTGGTATTGTGGAATCATCAAGTCCCTCAAATCTGCTCTCTGGATAAAGACGGAAGCATTTCCCAGCTCCTTCACGCCCTGCACGCCCACTGCAACATTAGAAAAAATTTAAATTTCCATTTATTTTATTATATTTGGTCTCTATAGATGTAGATGTGAAATCAATGTGCTTACCTCCTTTGAAGAGCTTGAGCTTTTGAAGTTTTAACAACAATTAGAGATTCAATGCCACTATCAGGAGAGTAACTCCTCACTTTCACCAATCCAGGATCAATAACATATTTAATTCCAGGTATTGTCACAGATGTTTCAGCAATGTTAGTTGCCAGTATCACCTACCAGTAACAAACACACCAATTCAACTTCAGGAAAGTAATTACTGGTGTAAAGGAAAAAGCAAAACAAAACCAGTTCTTAATAAGGAGTGTAGTGTACCTTTCTGAATCCAACAGGAGCAGCTGCAAAAACTTTCATTTGCTTCTCTGATGGAAGAGAAGAGAACAATGGCAAGATTAAGATTTTCTGATTGGCTTCAGGTAATTTCTTAAGATTCTCACGCACAAGACCCTCAATAGACTCAATCTCTTCTTGCCCAGACAGAAATACAAGTATATCACCGGGCCCCTCCTCCAAATGTATCTAATAATAACACAATGAACTTGTCAAATGCTAACAAAAATAACAACTATCAACTCCTTTTACTAGTTTCAAGAAAAAAAGAAAAAACCTGAAATATGGTAACCAAAGCTGCATCCAAACAATCTGTCTCAGGTTGGGTGGTGTACAGAATATCCACTGGAAACTGCCGCCCCTGAACATGAACAGCTTTTGCACCACCAAAATACTCTGAAAACCCTCGTGCATCCAAACTAGCAGACATAATGATTAACTTTAATGGATTTAACTTTCTTACTAAATGTGGCTTCACAACACTAACACTGCTACCTTCACCTTCACCATTATTTTCTTCCTTCACCAGTGTTCCATTGTTATTAGATTCACTAAAAGTTTTTTGAGATCTCTTCTTTTGTACATCTTTCAGCAAACCTAAAAGCACATCTGTCTGCACTGTTCTCTCATGAGCTTCATCAACAACTATAACTGAGTATCTTGAGAGATAAGGGTCCAAAAGTGCTTCCCTGTGATGTGAGCATATATGTATGTATGTAGCCTTTATCAGCTTAATATGGTACTACATTACATTAGCTTTCTAGTTAACAAGAATGTAGGATTATATGTTAACCTCAATAGCAATCCGTCTGTCATGTATTTGATTCTTGTTGAGGTAGAGGTCATGTCTTCAAACCTAATGGAGTATCCAACTTTTTGGCCCAACTCAACACCACATTCTTCAGCTACACGTTTTGCAACAGTTACTGCAGCAACACGTCTTGGTTGAGTGATTCCAATTGTTCCTCCATCGCGACAAAACCCTCCATTGAACAAGTACTGGGGCAACTCTGTCAGAATGAAAATGATAGACTCATATATAGCTTACTGGATTAAGTCATGTTCTTGTTGAGTTCATTAAGTCAACAAGAAACAACACCTAGAATGGAAGAGATTACTCACGTGTGGTCTTCCCGCTTCCGGTTTCACCAACAATTATCAAGGTATCATTTTTCCTGACCTCCTCAACAAGTCTTTTCTCAACTAAACAAATTAACAATTGATCGGTGAGAAAAACCTCTAATATACATAACAAAAAGAAGAACAAAAGGTATCATAATAGTAACTGCAAATCTTTAGCATAAGGTCTTAATCATACTGAAGTTAACAAAATTGGTAAGGAGATGTTAGCTCTAACGAGCTTACAGTGCCATTGACAACTTTTTCATAAACGTTTACAAGATGAGAGACTAATTCAACTTCAAATAAAACTGATTAACACAATTACAGCAAATTTGATTTCCAATAACAAGTAGGAACTTAAACTGTTGTATGGGGCAAAAGACATTTAAAAGCGGAGCATATCCATATCAAGTGTGCTGTATCGAACAGGTGTACCTGAAGCAATAGGCAAAGATCTTCTCTGTTGCTCAATCTTCTGTCTCCTGAGAGAATATTAGTTCAGCATTTCGAATGCGTTAATTAACAAAGAGATAATGCGTATTTGGTTGTGTGAGAGTTTGAAATGGACCTGGCAAAAGAGTCAGATTTCTGATCGCCGTTAAGGAGTTTAGGTCCGAATTGAGGATGATTGTTGGTGCCATTGCTGTTGGGATTGAAGTTTCTTCTGTCTCCGGTAGCCATGGAAGGCATCTCCCAGGCGAGAGAATAAGGGGTTTTAGTGGAGGCCGGAGGGACTCACCGAAAGAGGGCCGGCCAAAGAGTTTAAATTTGGTTTTATAAACCGGGACACGTCGCAGACCGGGCCTAACAAACACGGAACAATTAGGTTTGAAGTTTGATACGTAGCTTTTAAACCGGTTAAACATGGGTAGAGGTGCACAAAAATCGATCCTGAACCGGTCCTGGATCGGTCCTAAGTCGATCTTTTTTTTTTTGGATCGGTCTTTTTTTGGAGCGGTCTTTTTTAGACCGGTCCCGATCGGTCCTCGGTCGGTCCTTTTTCGGTCCCGTGTGGGTGAGGAAATTGTTCAAAAGCAAGGATTCGTTTATGCATAATCCATGTTTTTGGATCGATCCAATATACCGTGATGCAAATAAATGATAGAGCGGTACCATGTGGAGCGGTCCAAACGTCGGTGGTTAAAGAGACTCTTCCCGAGAAGCTCGTAAAGAATCTCTTTAAATCCTCATGAATTTTTTTAAATTTGTTCATTGCATCACGTTTTAGGGTTGTACGACTTACATGACAATAATCTGGTTGTAGAGCTTTCTTGATGAATCTAATAACTCTCGGCCGAGAGAAAAAATCAAATGGAAGACTTTCTTGTATAACTAGTTGCATAGATAATTGGCGTGCTAGATCATTATCGTAATGCCAAGATACTCCATCATTATCAACTTGTGTTTGCGCAATTGCATTCTCATGTTTCTTTCTACATGAGATCTAATAATTATTATTATTATATTATTAGTTATTAGAGTAAAAAAGAAAAAAGCAAAGGAATGGAGTCAGGGAGTAGGGACGAATGGAGTTTGTGTTAGTCACTTTGTCCCACATCGCTTGTATTACAAAAGATAAGGAAGCTGGGAGCAATATAAAAAAGATGTAAGGGAAACTCTATTTGCATGAAAAAATTGAAACAAAACCTTAATTTTGGAGGCCTCATATTTAATTGGGCTACCAAATGTTTTTCATTTTCTGGACCGGTTGGACCGGTTTGGATTGGGAGCTGTCCAAAAAATAGACTGGTTTATTTTTGGACCGGTTCAATTGTGGACTGGCTTAGGACTGGTCTGGATTGCAACGTATATCAATTTTAAGGACTGATTAAGGACTGCGGTGTGGACTGTTAAAAGGACTGACCGGTCCAGGACTGGTTCAGTCCATATGCATCTTTTTTGGATCCGTTTGGATTGGTTCTTTTGCCCACCTCTAAACATGGGGAGTGTTTGAAGTGGATGCTGATTATTTAAAGAGTAATTACAGAAATAGTCCCTTTGGTTGGTAGATTTTGCAGTTTTAGTCTCAGTTTCTAGATTTTGTCACAAATGCTCCCTATTGCATGTTTGGACAACCCATTTAGTCTCTGTCTCAGTTACCGTTTTGGTTGCTCCTTTAATGCTCCTCACGTGCCCCTCACACTCACACGAGGGGCATTTTAGTCATTTCATGCCGTCCGATCTTAGGCTAACCTCTTGACGGCATAAAGACTATATAATTTGTTTTCAATTTCATCAAAATCTTAGGGATACATAACATGTTCATTATATATACTTTTGTAAAAAAAACACTTCCATCAAAGGCCTAAATGTATATATGGCTTCTTTTGTTTTTAACTTGAACACAATGACTAAATTAGGTTTAAGGCAAAAAAATATATATACAAAAAATAGCGTAGTGTATGAATACATTAACTCTATTTGGTTATCCTTTTTCCTCCAAACTTCTATTCATGTTAAAGTCAATAGATATTGTAAAACTTCTATTCATGATAAAGTGTGTATATACGTGTGGAGATGCTATTGATCCCCTTGTTGTACATCTCTCATGCTGATATTAAGACTGTTTCGCATTGTTCTTCTTCCAATTCCTGCATTTCCTTTTGTCATCATGGCCACAAATTCCCCATAATCAATCCTCCCATCCTAAAAGAAATTTGTACAAAATTATCAAATTCTTTCCAATGTTCCAATGAAAAAAAAAACGAGACAAGGGCATTCACGTCTTTTGCACAAATGATAGAAGGTCATTCACATCTTTTGTTATTTAAAGTTTTTGGACTTACATTATCTTGATCGACTTCCCTAATAATATCCTCCACAAAAAAATCAGTTATATTTTGATCAATACATGCTTGTTGAAGCTCATCAACTGTAATATATCCACTTCCATCCTTGTCAAAATATCTAAATGCTGCAACAAGATGCTCCTCCCGATCCAATTTGTTCAAGTGCATCGTTGCTGTTACAAATTCCCCATAATCTATTGTGCCACTGTTGTCCACATCAGCCTGAAATCATATCATAATAAACTCATACATCAGATAATCTTCAAAATTTTATAAACATTATTTACTACATATGAATATGATATGGCCAAAGTGAAACTTGCTTTGTATTTGGATGACATTGCTATAATGGGGTATAGGTTGTTTCAAAGTAAAAAAAGAAAAAAAAAATGAAAGTAGAATGCTATTAAAAACAAATAAATGGCTATTTCTATAACTTTCTTTATTAAGTGATTAAATAAATACTAATCTTACTGCATCCATAAGATCTTGAATCTCTGTATCCTTTAATGTTGAACCAAACCTTTTTAAACCAGCTTTGAGTTCATCAAATGTTATTGCACCACTGTTATCTGTATCCATTGACTTGAACATTTCCCTCAAACCTGCAATCTCTTCTTCTGACAAACTTTCCGCTATTACCTATCAGCATCCAAGAAAAAGCAACATACTTTCATTTATTTGTTTATCATAAGATCTAATTTCATTTCCTTTTATCACACATTGTACACTTAGCTTTTTTGTTTCCTTATTAGGGCATTGTAATTTGAAGACATTATTTTAAATTATGTACCCTTAAAGCCATCTTCTTTAACTTATTCATTGCTGAGAAATGCTTCAAACGAGAAAGAACAGCAGGATCAAGTGCTCTATCTGGAGCAACCCCATTTTCACATATCCATGGATGACCTGTTCTAATTACATCAACACATAAATACTTCCAATCCCACAAATACATAACATAAAATAACATAACACAAAACTGTTTTGTGTGTACTGGATTGGGACTAAGACTAATGTCAATGGAATAAAAGACAAAAAGAGGGACTGGTTCTCGGTCTCTTGTCTGTGTAAAAGACGAAAATGCCCTTGTCAACGTGTGTGGGAGGAAAGATAAGTAAACATACATAGGACTTGATGGGCTGTTAAGCGCTTTGAAGGTTGAGAGCATAACATCTTGTTTATAAGATCCTTTCCACTATCTGATATAAGAGGCCATGGGTCCGATTCAAAGTCAATATGAGCCTTCAACACCGCATCAAATATCCCCTGTTGTGTTTCTACCCAAAAATAAAAAATAAAAAAGTTAGGACTAAATTAGGAAAGTAACACACATATATATATAACTTAGCAGATTAAGTTTTGTCCCCATTAAGTAAAAAATAAACAATACCTAAGAGTATTATGACAAATGTCACCACATAACATACCTGCCCAAAATGGAGGTACACCACTTAGAAGTATATAAAGTATGACTCCAGCTGTCCACACATCTGCTTCAGGACCATAACTCTTTTTAAGCACCTCAGGTGCAACATAATACGGGCTTCCAACCACATCTTTGAAAATTTGACCTAAAAAAAATCATCCCATTAAATTTAATATTCCACACAAAACTCAGCAACCAATTAAAGGTCTTAGGGTAAGTTGTAAGTAATACTTTCTATTAACTTCACCTGGTTTGAAAAAAACCGAGAGTCCAAAATCAATTGCTTTGAGTGAAAAATCATCATCCCTATTAATCAATAAGAAATTTTCAGGTTTCAAATCTCTATGCATAACACCAAGTGAATGACACGCCTCAACAACACCCACAATGATCTTTGTCAACTCTGCTGCTTTCCTCTCACTATACTGACCTCTTTGAATAATCCTATCAAACAATTCTCCACCATTACAGAGCTCCATTACAATATGAACATACAAAGTATCTTCATATGCTCCCTTTATTGTTACAATGTTCTTGTGCCCTGTTAGATGGTGCATTATTTGAATCTCCCTCCTAACATCCTCCACATCCTCTTTAGAAATCAACTTCCTTTTTGAAATTGACTTGCATGCGTAGTTTATACCTGTTGAATTCTCTGTGCATAAATAGGTTGTGCCGAATTGACCTTGACCAAGCTTTTGACCTAATGTGTATAGATCCCGAATGTTGGCGGTTTTATGACCAAGAACAGAATAAGCCTGGTTGGTATTGTGGTGGTTCATGGTGGTTTCTTTAAGTAGGAATTCAGAACTGGGATTGGAGTTGGAATTGGGATCGGGAATGGAATTGGAATTGGAATCCTTTTTCAGGAGCTTTTTGGATGCCTGATTTTGAGGGTTTGAGGAGGTGTTAGATTTAGGGAAAGAAGGGTTTTGTTTGGAACTTGATCGGGGTTAGGGATTATTGGAGCTTTGATTGATTCTTGCTGCAAAAGATCCGCGACATGTATTGCCCATAAAAACAATCAAGATTCTGCCATAGTTATGAAAGTTTCAGCTTCTTTCTCATCCCATTTTATCCTCATCATATTTACTGCAAGTAAGCATAGTTTTCAACCAGTTAGACACGATATAGATGTTATTGTTGTTAATTTTACTGCAAATGAACATAATTTCCTAACAATTTTGCGAAAATACAAGCCATTCTCGACAAATTTGCTGCACAGAAACATTATTTTCTACCAATTTGCCCGATTAGCCACAATACACCATGCTATTCTCATCAATGTTTTTTTTAAAGAGATGCTATTCTCATCAATGTTACTGCAAACAAAAGTGATTTACTACCAATTTGCCATAAACATCCTAAAATTGCGATATCAACAATCTAAAAGGCAAACACCCTACCCCCAAATTGATTGTCTTCAAAATGCTATGTTAAAGGAATGAAGAAGACAATCTATTATATGCAATAGATCGGGGAAGGGAAATAATCTTGAAATTACGATGAACACATTATAAATCTTCCTAATTAAGGAAAAACCCACGTGAAGAGGACGCATGGACTGATTCTTAAAAGAGATCATATAGAAAATTTCTTGAAAATCGATTAATGAACGTTTACGGATGCATGTTACGGGTAATTAATAAGGGGAAAGGTGAGTACAGATCTAGTAAACTACCGGGTTGAATGAGGGAAATGAAAATGCCGATCACGTCAGAGGAAGAAGAAGGAAATGATGATGAATGTAGTCGTGGGTGGGTGTGTTTCAATGGAAAAGGAAATGGGATTTTTCTTGTACGAGAAATGCCGATCCTTGCTGTTGTTGCTGTTGTTGACAATAAATGAATAATGATCGGAGCGGGCGGCAAAGAAAGATTTTATGACGGAGCTGACACGCCGTCTTCTTGGCCTATTTCTTCTCTTGAGTCTTGACCTTTTACGTTTACAAAAGGGTATTAGAAATCAAATATTCTCTTTAAGTTTTCTTCTTATTCGTCTTTCTCGGTAAAAACAAATGTTAAAAACAAAAAATTTAAATTTTTTTTTTTAAAAAGGAGAGAGATCAAAGAAAAGAATTTCAGATTTTATATGAATAAAAAAAATAAATAGAAACACAAGCCAAAAGGTAAGAAATATTTAATTTTTCAAAAAATATATATACTTTTTAGTATGAGTATGTATATAAAATAGGAAAAATATGCAACGGCCAACTATGTATTACGACTTTACCCATTAAGTCTTTAAAGTTTTTTTTTTGTCTTTTAAAGAAACAAAGTGGTTTTTGTTGGGTCGATTTAGTCACTTTTGACAAAATGAAAGGGTAACTCGGTTACCCATTTGCCACATAGACTTTGACTAATCACTCTTGGTTCATATGACCTCTCTCTCTCTCTAGTTGGTGGCTTTGATGCACATTCAACTCCTACAATAATGGTTTATCCTGCCAGCCACCGATTTGTGTTATCGGAATCCGTTGTGGCCACCGGACATTCACATCCGTTGATCTCAAACGACCGGTAGGACACAACAAACGAAGCATGGGTCCAATCGATTTTAACACGGCCACCTTGTGTCGCCCAGTCGTCGGCATTCCAAATCGAGTTGTACACACCCATTGCTTGGTCTTTAGGGAGCGAGATACCCTTGTGCACAACAGGTCATCATTCCACCAATGTGTCCACCAATGCTTTTCAATTATTGAAGCAGCTCCACCGACTTACTCATTTTTTTTTCCAATCACCCACAGATTGGGAGAAAAATACCGGCTAGGAATTAAAAAAAACAATAAAAACAAAGGCAAGCCGGTAAAAAAGACCAAGCCGGTAGCCACATAAAAAGCTAGTCGAAAAAATTACCGGTTGCACTGTTCCTAAGCCTATTTGTACGATAAACAATGCTATGTCATTTAGTTTAATCTGTAAACTTATAACAATCAATAATATTATTATTTTTTAATTAGATAAAAGTATAACAAAATAGTCGTTAACTCTGTCTTTAAAAACATAAATAGATTTATATTTAGATAAAAATAATCTTTTATTATAAAAACTAAAATATTAACTTTTATCAACTAAAGGGCTTCTAGCACAGCAGTATTGAGTGTTGACATCCCTCTCCTAGAAGTTGAGGATTCAAGTATTATTGGAGACATAAATGGTATTAAGAATAGTTTAGTCGTTTTAAAAATAAAACTTTTATCAATAATTAAAAAAAAAACGTTATGTTTCCATGTAACTTTCCCCCGTGATTATGGTACTATGCCTTGTTACAATTGGCCCTTGAAGATTGGTCTTTGATAATCCATGAATCTATGTCAATCAAATTTATGTTCTAAAAGCTAACCAAATTATTATGTTTATGCCACCATCCCATGAAAAAACTTGAATCTTTATTCTTCTTCTTCAATGGCTGGAGGTACGACTAATAACCCTAGCACCAACTCTGCCAAGTTTCTTCACCATAGCCAAAGCTTTCAACTTTCCCTTCTCCACAAAAGCTTCCACCATCTTCTCCCCGATCTCCCTCCCTTTATCTTCATCATCCGTCACCGCCACCACCGTCGGCCCAGACCCACTTATCGTACACCCATATGCCCCTGCCTCCATTGCCGCCTTCTTCACATCTTCCATCCCCGGAAGCAATGGCGCCCGCCGTGGCTCCACTATTCTATCCGACGATAATGCCTTCCCAAACCCCACCAAATCTCCCTGCAATACACCTGCCACCAACGCCGCCGCCTGACTACAATTCCATACATGATCCGACATTGTTATCTCCGTCGGGAGAACCGCCCTCATCTTCTTCGTTTGTGCTTGGAATTCAGGATTCACCAACACGAAAAACAGATTCTTTTCCGGTGGAAACTTCAAGGAGATCAACTCTAATGGATCATAGCTTCTGATCAACACAAACCCACCCATGATTGCCGGAGCAATGTTATCGGCGTGATAACCGGATAACTTCGCTTCAGCTTCGAGCCCCGCGAGTATCAAATCGGATTCCTGTAACTTCCCTCCGAAAATCTCATTAACCGCAACGGCGGCGGCGGCAGCGCTAGCGGCGCTGGAGCCTAGGCCGCCTCGAAGGGGGAGACATGCATTGATGGATAAAGAGAGACCCACAGATCGGATTTTGAGCATCTTCATGACTGAGATTGCAGCGATTCCAGCGCAATTCCATAGAGGGTTTCTGCTGAGCCTCTTGGAAGACTTGTCAACGCCGTTGATTTCTGCAATTGATAATCTGCCGGGTTGGACTTGGGGGTCGACTGTGAGGGTAACGTAATCTCCGATGCCGTCGATTGCGCAGCCGAGGAAGTCGAAACCAGGCCCGAGGTTGGCTACGGTGGCGGGGGCGAATGACTTAACGGAGGTGAAAACTGGATGAGGTTCGGGTTCTAGTTTGGAAGCGACGGAGATATTGCACCGGACAGACGATGAAAGATAAAGTTGAGGGGGTTTGAATAAATCTGTACTGGAGATAGAAGAAGAAGTGGAGGCGAATGGAGGTTGATAGTGGCGAATTGCCATTTTCATTTGCAGAGATAGAGTGGATGGTCGGTGAAAGAGAAGAGGGTTTTGAGGGTTTAGAACAGGGGAAACTCAACTCTTAATAAAAAGCAGAACCAACCTTTAACTTTAAGAAATTTCATGTTTAACCCCAAATACTATTTTATGGCATTGGCCTTGTATACAATTTTAAATCTATAAATTCTTAAGAGTGTGTTACGATAAGTTACTTAGTACATTGGCCTTTTACAACAAATGAACTAGAATGAGCAATATGGGATATAGACTCGTTTTCGATCTCCTGTTTGCTTTAAAAGACGTATATACCATCATCCTATCATAAACACAATCTCCATAAAGCTTGAAAAGTCTCATCCATCATGTCAATGTTTTAATACATCGATTTAATGCGCGTTTTACAATTAAACTATACTAAATATCTTATACAACACAGATTCGAGCAATCAACTATTAACATTTTGCTCATCATCAATCTCCGCTTGAATTCGGTTTGACCTATTCCTCGAGTCAACTTCCGTACCATTAACAGTTGACCTCTCCCTCTTCCTCTTCAACTTACTCTTAGATACCTCTTCTTTCTCATCTGCAAACGATAAAAACCTCTGCAACCGCACCGACCGTGACCCCGACCCCGACCCCGTCTTCTGAGACTCCTCGGGGGTGTCGGAATCGGAATGATGTTTTCCGAACTCCCAAAGCATCATTCCGAAGTACAATAAGAGAGCGATGGAACAAGCGATTCCGAAGATGAGAAAGAGTCCCCAAAAGCTTTCGAGCTGAAGCTGGTCGGAGTCGGAATCGGAATTGGAATCTTGAGAAGCGCATGTTTCCCGTTTGAGCCAACGGTCGTGAATCTTTTGAAGCTCTCCGTTTTCGGATAATGTTAGGATAGCTGTTGACATGTCGATCGCCAATGGGGATTCCTTCGGGAACGCCTGAGGAAAGAATCACATGATTTTGACTTAACGAGTCAAACATAATAGTTTTCAAATTTGAAAATTGATACTTACAAATCCCCAACCACTTTTAGTGAACTCTTGGCCAACAATTTGAAACTGACAGCGATATGAAAGGAAAAGATCGATATAAGGTCTTTCATCAACAATGGCTGCCACAATTCCTGCCCTAAGTTTCTCTGCATATTCTTCTGGGGACCCAAGTGCCACAAGTCTTGATTGTGGGATGTTGAGTTCTTCTTTCAAGTAATTCTCTGCAAATGACCCCACCTGAAACCCGATACGTTCATTGGTTGTGATCAATGATTCGATTCCTCTTATTGAAGATGAAAGTTGTTGAACAGTTAAGATTGATGTCAAACTGGCTGTGTAACTTGAATTGATAATTAGAACCACGAAAAGCCAGATGAACAGAACCATCCGACCAAGGGTGCTCACTGTGTTTTCTCCTGAAATAGGAATGTACTTTCATTTTAAACTAATATAATTTTGATTTTTTACTAATACACAAATAAGGGTTAAATGAAAGAGATAGAAAGCAGTTGCATTTATTTGCTTATTCCAGCATCCTACTTCTATTTCTTCTTTATCTAATGAAAAATCTACCCAGTTATGATATGTACAAAGCAATCTTCACTGCTATAATTTGGATAGATTTTTCGAAATATAATGTCCTAATAAGAAAAAAAATTGAAGGTACATTGCTAGAATTGAGTAGATTCTGCAGATGAGTTAATAGGAAGTAACTTGAAAGTACATTGTTGTAACAGAAAGAAATGAAAGTAGGATGGCATAATACACAAGTAAAATAAATAATCGAAGGTTCAGAGTTTTGATGCTTACTGTGTGAGAAAAACATGGTTGACAATGTAAACCTGCAAAACAAGAACAAATGTTACAAGTTACAAAAATTGGTTGATATATATATGAAACAGTGCGTAAGCAGAGCTTACCACAAGATGGTGACCAATTGTCGCTTAGGTGGGCCCCTAAATTCATCATTAAGCCTATGTTCCAGTATCCACACAACAGCCCCAACAACAATGAAAAAAAATCCGGTGACCGCCCACATCAGCGGTGTGAAAGGCCGCATGAAAGCCCAAGCACTCGAATTTAGTTTCTTCACGGGGACCACCACCACTAACCCCGACTCTATATACGGTTGTGTAAAGTCCACTGTCTTTGTCCGGTTTGTCACAATTGCAATATCACCAACAGCAGCATCAAACACCTGAAATATTTTCAACGATAAGGATGAGGAGGAGGGTATTTACGTCTTTTACACAAACAAAAAGATCAAGACCGACTATAATAGTCTAATGTCCCAACAAAAAATTGCAATTTTTGTCCCATTGACATCAGTAGTCTCAGTCCCAGTCCAATGCAGTACAACCAGATTATGATTGTAACAACTTACATTCGAAGCAACGTTATGCACAAGATCGCTGTAGCTCGGGTTCTTATAACCATCTCCAAACTTAATAAACACATAAGGAACCGGATATGGAATCAACTTTATCGCTGCGATGAAAACATCAATGCTAAATCCATGAATATCATGTGAACCATTGACTTGTGTAACAAATTTTTTGAAACTAACTCTCAATGGAACTCCAATCCGTAAGGGCCTTCCATTATTTGAAAACTCCCATCCCCGAGGCTTATCTTTCGTGTTCCCGGGCCATATTATGGTTCCCAACCGTTGGTTTAAAGAAGAACGGTTCGATGGTTTTGCATAAAGTGGCTCGGGAGCCCTAACCGTTAGCCCAGAGTGGTTTGACCAATACCCGACAACCCGACCCTGGTTCCCAACTATGTTGATTACATCAAACGAAGGGTGCACTAATGATTGGTCCGGGTTGAACCAAAACGGGCCAGTTAGGCCCGTCATATTCGTTTCCAATAACTTGGCCCGTACCCGTTTCCCGCCATCAAAAAAACTAAGTGCTCCAAAATTTAAACCTTTCACCACTTTCAACCTCGAATCATTCGAAAAAGAAATGCTTCCACCTTCGTTTAAAAACTTGTCAACCGCGTATGCAATCATCCAAACCGTATCATAAGCGTATAAACCATACGGGTTCAACCCGATCGACCCGTTACTCAAACCCTTCCACCGCATTACAAACTCTCGTTTCTTCTCCGTATCCGGTGTGTGGGGCCGGACTGTGAGAACACCGTGTAAAAACAACGTCTCATTTCCGGAAATGCCCGTGGAATCCAAAACCGTAGACAACCAAGTGGTTGCAATCCAGACGTACCCTTTTTTCATCATCCCGAGCCTCTTGGCGGTTTCGAAAACCGAAAGCCCGGTTTTCGAATACGTATTTACGATAATAACCCTAGATTCTAATGCCCGTACTTTAAGCAGTTTGTTGGTTAGATTTTGTGGAGATAATGAGGAGTCGGGTGTTAATGCTGCTTTATAGGAGATCTTACACCGCCTTGTGGAAAGTAGGTCGCCTAATGTGGATATGCTATTACGGAATTGGTCGTCATCGGTGAATATTGCGGTTACTTCTCGATAACCGAAGTAGGTTACCATTTCGGCGATTGCAGTCATTTGGTAAAGGTCGTTAGGGGAGGTTTGGATGAAATACGGGTATTGAAGAGGTGAAAGTGAAGGGTCTAATGCTGTGAATGATAAAAATGGAACGTGGAGTTCGTTTGCAAGATGTGAAAGTACATGGGCCATTACTGAACTTTGTGGACCGATAACGGCTACGGTATCAATCTCCATGTATCTCAATGCTGAAAATCATAGTTATTAAAGAAAGAACTTGTTAATGGAGAGTGAAGAGTCTCTCATTAATAAGATCCAATTTCTCATCGTATTCTTTTTCTTATTAAAGCATTGTACTTTGAAAATTTTTACCAAGTTATAGCATTCTACTTTTAGTTTTTTTTTGTATTTTGAAAAACAGTGAAAATTGCTTTGTATTTGGATTACATTGCCATAATTTGGTAGATTTTTTTTAAAAAGAAAATGAATCGTAGGATGCTGTTATAAAAAAATGAACAAAATACATTTTTATTTCTTGCATTTAATCATAATATCTAATATGCTCACCAAACATTAGACACTAAAAGCAATTATTGCTACCACCTAAAATCACTATAATCAAACAATCACTTTCAAAATTGACATCCGAACAACCCCTAAAATTTCAATATAAGAATCATGAATTTTTAAATCTCCATCCCGATTTCTTTTCTTTTGCTGTGCGAATTTTGCCACTAATTTCTAATTTCAAAATTATTATATTTGAAGTTGAAAAAATAACTTTACCACCGACAATGCTGAGGAAACCACTGAAGTTTGCATCATGAAATGAGAGACTCAATCTTCTGCCTGGTAAAATGGAGGGATCAGAATTGACATCGTCTACAGCAGTCTTCATGGCAATCGTTGAAACCTTCCCATTAATGGTTTTAAAGTTTAAAATGGCTCCGATGTTCACAGTATCGGTTTCAGAAATCACAAATAAGAAGCTTCCAAGAACCAAAATCAACACCACCCAACTCCTCATGTAGACTAACATAAGGGTTGTTTGGGAAATCAAGATAATCATCATAGAGGGTGTGAAAAGAAGAGATTTTTAGGCATATTGTAACGAAAAGGCGACAAGAGCCCTAAAACGCACAAACCCTTCAAAGAAAGTTAGCATCTTTTACGGAAAAGCACACATACCCGTGTCTGTGTGTATGCAAGAATAAGTGGACGCAAAAATTTTGCATATGACATTTGAAAAAAGGAAGTGAGGTAGCTTTCGATGAAGAAGAGACTGTGAGTCTGTGAGTGGAAGACCGAAATGTTGAGGGTGTCGGGGTTAATGGAGGGGGTGAAAGGGAAGAAGGGCGGGGGGTTCTTGTGCCCATTTGCAAGAAATCGTGAAGATGTATTTGAAAAAGAGAAAGATTTGGATGAGTTGTTGTTGGTTAGATTCGCACAATTTTAGTGGAGTGAAGGAGGACTCTGTTGTCTTCCTTTCTGGTTTCCTTCTTCAGCAGTTTCCTTCTTTGACAGGTTCATACTTTCCTTTT